ATGGCACGGAGGTGACTTCAGGTTCGCCGAGTGCAATAAGATTCACATGGAGAGCCAGGAAACGTCCAAAACCAGACGTGACACCTGGCACGACTGGGACGCGCTGCTCACGGCGCGCGGGTGGACCGTGGAGAACCAGAAAACGGAGACTGGCGCCAGGAGCCCGTCTTTATCGCACGGGGTAAGAGGAATTGGAGGGATGAGGGGTCGGGACCCAAGGTCTGGAAGGATGGAGGAATGAGGAGGGAGGGAGATAGGCCGATTAGGGGTCGCACGTGCGATTTATTGATACGGATTGTGGCCTATGTTGTTCTAGATGTCTCAGCCGATCCCCTTGCAATGAGCACAATTAATTCTAAACCTCGATCGGCTCGAGGGCATACCAGCGGGCCATGACGGTCAAGGATTACTGCATGAAGCTCAAGAAGACCCGCACCTGCGTGGGCGTGGGAGAACGATGCCGACATATATTTGAGTAGCACGGAGTTGCCCATGAGGAGAGTTCCGTAATAGTAGGAAGGGTGAACACTAGAGCAGGGGACAAGATCGAGGAAAGATGAGAGGACAGGGGACATCTCGAGCTGGGGAGGTGGACTCCCAGACTGGCGAGACTCTCTTCCGCCGCCTGACGCTGGAGGGCGAGAACCGCGAGGCAGCTGCACCTTGCTTTGCATGCGATGTGTACTAGTGTGAGCATGTGCAGGATTGATTCACGTGACTATCGAGTTGGAGCCATAGTATCCTCATCTCGAGCCCTAGGGAAATTCCCCATGCGAACCTCGAGGTGGGGGGCTTATCTGCTCCACATCTCGAGGTTCACAGTTCCGCACTCGCTGCGTGCGTCGCCCACCCCATCGCTCGAGGTCAAGAGGCAGACCTTGGAGACGAAGATGAGTACGGGCATGGTGCAGTCCGATGACGTGGTCAAGGCTCGGGGGGCTCGAGTGTGCTGCCTGCTTGTTCACATGGGCCCATCCTGCGCGCACCAACTCGCCTTTGCATTGGGCGCGAGAGTGCAAGTGAGAGCTCGGAGATGTTCAGGTGTCGATCGCCGCGAATTGTTCGAGGGCCCTCCTCCTCGATCCCACCCGACCGATCTCCCCCTCCATTGCGCAAACAATGGAGTCAGGGGAGGCGGGCGTGACATCGAAGGACAAGATCTTCGCGGACGACTCCGACTCCGACTCCAGCTACTCCGACGAGAGCTCTCTCGAAGAGGACAGGAAGGAATCGCGCGCCTGCGCATGGGAGGGATGGGGAGGCACTGGCAGGAGTGAACGGGCCTCACAGCCTGGGACCATCAGCATCGATTCTATAATAGGAGCTCTCGAAAGTCTTCGAACACTCGATCCTCACCCCCGATCCCCACTTCCTCCTCCCCCCTGCAGCCCTCGGTTGGCTCTCGTCCGATCGGTGCTCCCAGGATGTATCGAAGAGGTCGGCCTCGAAGCCGTCGGCGTCGAACGAGCACGCTGCGGTGTACGAGACGCTGCTTGGCACGTGCAGCTCCATGCACGCGCGCTTGACTGGCATCGACGTGGGGAGGGGGGGTTCACGTGGCATGCGCGCGCTCGAATCGATCGATCGACCGATCGATCGGATCCTTCCAACTCTGATCGAGCGATCCGTCGATCGAGATTTATCAATCGATCGATCGAGCAATCGACCCGTCGATCGGTCGATCGATCAGTCGAGCTCCGATCGACCGATCCACAATATTGTTGGATCCGAGCTCCGATCGAACGATCTGTCGATATTGGTCAATCGATCGATCGATCCGTCGATCGATCGATCGATCCGTCGATCGATCGATCCGTCGAACTCCGATCGAGCGATCCGCGATTGTTGCATTCGAGCTCCGATCGATCGATCCGTCGATCGGCCGACGCCGTGCATGGGGATCGAGCCTCCTCTGGTAACACGGGATCCCGATGCGTGCATCGGGGCAAGGGAGGTGGCTTCCGTGCCGTGGCTCTCGCCGTTCTCTGCCCAGATCGAGGGCGCGGTGGCCAACCTCGAGGACTACAAGGAAAGCCTGACGCAGGGCATCCAGGGCAGGTCTGCCCTCCTTTTTTTCATTGCTGCGCATTCAGGGATGAGAGCATACAAGATATGGAGGGTGAGAGGGCCCCTCGAGGCGAGCAGCGGCACGATCTCGCATCAGGCCTCCTGTCCCTGGGGCTCGAACGATCCCCTTTTATTCAGCCCCTCTCTTCCCTGGGAACGGTTGCGGGGCGACGTTGGCCCTGCAATGCTCCCTGGGGGATCGCCGAATTTCATAGCTGATCCGATGTTTGTACTTCCGACCTCTTTGCTCATCACCCCAGCCCTCCATTCAGCCAGGTCGGCTCCGAACCTCGATGACATCAAGGTTGGCCTCGAGGAGGCGCACTCGCCGCAGGGTCGGCGGGGGCTCTCTACAGTCAAGCGCGTGCAAAGACATCTATATATATATATATATATATATATATATATGTATACATACATATACGCACCGAGCGGCCCTGGCCGTCGTCGAACTATCCCGAACACCTGTGTGGACATATATATATATATACACATTTATACATATGTGTATGCACACGAACGTTTTCCGCTTCAAGGCACCCTTGCACTCGCATGCAGACCGTCCGATGGCGCTGCATTTTATAGGCATGGGGAGAAATGGGAAAGGGGGAATTCAGTGCGAGGATCGTCGAGGGCAATTTAGGTGTGCACGATCGTGGAGGGATGCTCCGAACGATTTGGGACTGCCGATCGAGTATCCAAAAATCAATCGAGTCCGATCGACCCCCCTCGTCGGCGAGGCGACGCGGGTGTGGAACCTGATTGCCCCAGTGATGGCGACGGTAAGCGCGGCGACCACTGCGCTGCAAGACTCAGTGCAGCAGTAGGCGCCAGACGAATGCAGGCCCGAGGCTTCGAGCGTATCTAAAGGTAACACGTGACCGTGTGTGCGTGCTTGTGTGTTGTACGCTCGTCTCGCGCTCGAGTGCGCGATTGCATGCACCATGCATCCGTGCGCACACGTACGCGCGTGCCTGCCTCCTTGCTCCTCGATCGGGCCAGTTGACTTTCAAGAGCCAGCGTGCGGTCGCAGCACGCGCTGAATGCATTGCGCTGCATGCAATGCGATGGCTCGCCATGATTTGGTTAGATATCGGATCCCGTCCTCCGGCCCGTTATATAAGGTGAGATTTGAGGACGGGGGCGGGGGAGTTGAGGATGTGGGGAGGTGGAGAAAGGAAAGCGGAGTAGGGTGGAGGAGGGTCTCGAGAAAGTAGGAGGCAGCAGCAGTAGAAACGGGGGAGGGAGAGAGGGAGAAGGATGCCCATGTACATAGCTTGCTGGAGGTCGGGCTGCAGGCGCCACGCCTGCTGCGTGCAAAGGAGATATAGTACCTGAGTCTCGAACGGTCGCTCGCAAATGCATTCCATGGTCAGCCTAAATGTACGTCGATGTTGTCGAGAATTCATAATATGGACATCGACCCCCTATCGCAAACGTCTTAAGGGTACATGGGCCTGTTGAGGTATGGATGAGTCGATGTATCCTGAGCGCTGCGCAGATCGACGTGGAACCTCGACTCGTGCATCGATCTATCCTGGCCCTTCGCTCGAGCTCGGGCGTGCACCTGTGAAGTGCGCGCGCATCCTCGAGCCTCAGGTTACTAAGTTTGAAGAGCCAGCGTGTGGCGACTGCATTGCAATGCAATGCGAGACGGTGAGTTGGTCCGAGAGACCCCTCTCGGCAGCGCTGTGGATGAGGAAGAGGACGCGGAGGATTGAGCTTGAGTAGGGGATTTGGGACGATGCGGAAGGAGATCGAGGAGAGGACGGAAGATGAGGATTTAGGGGTACCACGTGGAGAAAGTCGAGGGATAAGGATAGGAGAGTTATGGATACGCATCCAGACCAGCAGGCCAGACGCTCACGTCGAGCACAGATGGCGGAGAAAAGGCGGCAGCCGCTTGCAAGAGAGATCTCGAAGCATCGCGTGCACAGCCAAGACGCTGATATGAGGACATGTGATTTTCTGGCCGTTCCTTGATTTACGGCTCGTGGAACATGTTTGTGGCCTTGGCCCGCCGTGGCCAGAACGACCCCTTCGTTCCTTGACGATGAGTGCAGCCACGGTCGGCCGCATTTGCTTTCAATGATCAGCCCTCGCTGTTGACGGTGAGTGCATCGACGATGAGTGCAGCCCAGGCCCGCGTGCGGATCCGAGGGCGACGGGATGAGGAAGTGAACCTGTGCCGTCCTCGTGTTCGAAGCCTCCTTTGAAGCCTTCCTGGAAACCTCCGATCCCTTTCCAAATAGGTTGACATCGAGCGCTTGAGACATCCTCGCATCACATCGGAAAAGATCGGCGGCCTCGATCGCTTGAGACATCCTCACATCCCCAGGTTCCGCACCCATTGTCCGTAGTCGTTTGCACGATCAAGCTTTTTGGGAATCCTTGGGACCGACTCACCATCGATTGCACCATCGATCTTTCTAGCTTAGACCGCCTGTCACCATGGCAGCCCGTGCAGCAGCAGCATCGATGTTCATCGGTACGTCAGGGTCAGCACAGCAGGTCGCGGACCCTCACGGGGAAGGGTTGCGAGAGTACTTGCTCACCAGGTGGGGCGAGGGCACGGTCACGGCGCAGGACAGGGGGGAGGGAGGGGAGATCGTACCACCATCCCCGTCCCATCAAGTGGGGGTCGAATCAATCGGTCGACGATGATATCTGTCGGGGTCCATGTGTGACCCACGACAGTTTTATTCATCGAGGCCGCCCCCGAACATTCGAACATTGAGCGGCCGAGGATGGTGTCGATCCCCACCCCTCCCCAACAGGATGCGTGTACAATCGCGTGGCACTGTGCGAGGGCTGGGCTCCGTGGCCTGGGCGACTTAGCATGTGACCCTGCAGGTTCAGCACACCACACCCACCATATTCGGGAAGCGCTTGGGATGAACAAAAACGATGCGTTTTACACCACAGAGGTCCCCATGTGGGATTCAGACACCCAGACGCGCATCTACAGCAAGTTCCCCGTGTCTCTACCGCACGAGACTTTCAGCAGCACCTACGAGGCAAACCCTTCAGACTATGATCTTCGCCGCCTGGGCGCTCAGAACGTGCCGCCACGCTTCGAGAACCACGCAGCGAAGCTTATGAAAGGCGACCTTGCTTTCCCTGTGGGGTACTACTCCGACGGAGTACCCCACACAAAGAAAGACAGCTTCATTACATTCTCGTGGAGCAACTTTGTGACCTCGGCCCGCCACACAATTGCCATCGTCCGAAAGAGCGATTTATGCCAATGCGGCTGCCGAGGGATGTGCACCCTGGCAGCCGTCATGAGAATCATAGTTTGGTCATTTAATGTGATGTCCACAGGGCTGTTTCCCGACCGTGGCCACGACGACACGCCATTCGCTGACGAGATCCGTGCTGCTAAACGTGGTTTCGCGTTGGCTGGGGGTCTATGCGGCGCCGCCTGCGAGATGAGAGCTGATCTGCTGGAGATCCACCAGGCGTGTGGATTCAAGCGGTGGGATAACGTGGAGCACCCTTGCTGGGCATGCAATTGCCACAAGGACCAACTGTTTGAGTTCCCCCTGTCAGTGGCGAGCTGCCCATGGGTAGACAAGGGTCCCGTAGAATACGCCGAGATGATACGCTCAGTTGTGAAGACGGTTGCAGTTACTTCTAAGGCACAGTTCAAGCGTTTGCTGAGATGTTGTCGCCACGATCCTGAATTGTGGGGATTTGGCACCTGGTGTAATTTCAATGAGCTCGGCTTGCCGTCGGGGCACAGACTGCTCCACAGGGGCGCTGTCAACGACGCACATAAGCTCGGCGAGGTGGAGGACCAGATCGGTCCAGGTCGCCCTGTTCAGCTGCATTTCTTCGACGTTCGTAACCATGCGGGGACCAACTTCGTGGCGCCAATCCTGGGCGTCGTGGGGTTCACGGCGTCGATGATCTGCTTGGACATCATGCACGTGCTGGATCCAGGCTGCACGCAGAGGCTGGTGGCCACCGTCTTCTGGGCCCTCATCGAGGCAAACTTTGCAAGGAGTGCTGCTCGGACAGGGATCATCCGTAGAGTGCACAACCTGATCCACCTGAGGCGACGAATGAAAGCATACTACCTTGCCAATGCTGCGCTTTTTGCGCGTGGATCCCAGTCGAGAATATTCAGGATTAACCTGGAGATGCTTGGGGACGTGCACCAGCCGAGGTTCCGCGCCAAGGCTGCCGAGACAAGGCACCTTGTGCCCCTTCTCCTTGCATTATGTACTGAGAATGCTGCAGTGTTTGCTAATGGTGCTAATGTTTTCATCCCGCCCGCGTGCGCGTCCCTGTTGAAGTTTCATCAGCTTATCGAGCGCAACCCTCGGCTAATGCCTGTCCAGTCCCAAAGGGACATGGAAGCGAGCATGTTGGCATTCCTTCAGTACTGGAAGGCAGCTGGCGGCCACTGCACATACAAGCACCACATGTGCTATCACCTTGTGAAGTCCGCCAGGGTCCTGGGTAATCCCAGGTTCTACTGGACATATGTCGACGAGGGGACCAATCGTGCGCTGGCCGCCGTTGCGAAGTCAGTTCACCACGGCCCCACATTTTATTTTGCCTTTCTTCAGAAGTACATGGTTGCCTGATCTGCAAAAAAGTGTGCGTGAGTGCGTGGGAGAGAGAGAGAGAGAGAGAGAAAGAGAGAGAGAGAGAGAAAAGGGAGGGCGGGGAGAGGAGGGGGAGGGCCAGCAAAGGACAAGCAAGACCCCCCGCGCTCGACGCGGACGTCGCCGCGGCACTCGGCGCTGCTCCCGTTCTTCTCTGTTTTGTCCTGTTCGTCAAAGCATGTTGCAATTGGTTGTTCCATGTTACTTAGGCCTTCACTTGAATATCCCTCCCTCCCTGCCTCCTTCCTCCTCCTCCTCCTCCTCCTCCTCCTCCTCCTCCTCTCCCTCCCCGCCCCCTCCTGTCCTTCCTCCCCCTCAGGGGCTAGCTTTTCTCTGACAGAAGAAAACAATACGAAGGCAGCGAAACAAACCAATTTTTTTTTACAGTTTAGGTCTTCCATTTTATCCCTCCCCCCCTCCCTCCCTCCCTTCCTCCCTCTCCCCCCCCTCCCCGCCCCCTCCTGTCCTTCCTCCCCCTCAGGGGCTAGCTTTTCTCCAACAAAAGAAAACAAACCGAAGGCAGCGAAACAAACCAATTTTTTTTACAGTTTAGGTCTTCCATGTTATCCCTCCCTCCCTCCCTTCCTCCCTCTCCCCCCCCCCCTCCCCGCCCCCTCCTGTCCTTCCTCCCCCTCAGGGGCTAGCTTTTCTCCAACAAAAGAAAACAAAACGAAGGCAACGAAACAGACAATTTTTTTTTAACAGTTTAGGTCTTCCATTTTATCCCTCCCTCCCTCCCTCCCTCCCTCCCTCCCCTTGCTCCTCCTCCTCCTCCTCCTTCTCCTCCTCCTCCTCGTCCTCTCTCTCCCCGCCCCCGCCCTCGATCCTCTGGAGCCTAGGCTTTCCCCACAAGAGCCGCCTGCAGGGCGGCGAACTGAATCCGCTAAGTTGGGTTTTTTTCCTCGATCCTCCTCCTCGGCCTCCTCCTCCTCTTCCGGCCGCGGGGCCAGTATAGACCGATCAGGTCGACGGCAGGAGGCCGAGAGGCGTGAAGGGCCCCGCCCTCGCTCCTCCTCCTCCTCCTCCTCCTCCTTCTTCTCCCCCGTTTCTTCCTCCTCCTCCTCTGCTGGCCTCCTCCTCCTGCTCGTCCTCCGCCTCCTCCTCCTAGTCCTCTTCCTCCTGGATTCGTGGAGCCCAGGACTCTTGAAATTCCATGAGGTTTCGAGGTCAGGACTCGTGGAGTGGATGTTTGCTGCCGCTGCCGTCGTCGCTGCGGCGATCATCGCCTGCGACCTGCAGTGGCGACCTTGCGGGATCCCCCAGGGCACTGTCGGTGCCCCTGGTTCTCCTCCTCCTCCTCCTCCTCCTCCTCCTCCTCCTCCTCTTCCTCCTCCTCCTCCTCCTCCTCCTCCTCCTATATTGCCACAGGTTCAAGTTGTCACATTTTTTTTGGAATGTCCCAATTTTTGCGGATGAAGCAATTATTTTTTGTGACGTTTGCAGACGTCCCAATTAAATTGGGGCGGCAAGATGTCAGGGGATCCCGAGAGGGTCATGCGAGGCCCCAAGACAGCCCAATGATGGCCACGCGAGAGCCACACCATACATTATGATGATGAGGAGGCGTAAGTAATGGTGGCGAGGGATGCTGATGACAAGGATGGAAGGGGAGCGAAGGATGAGGAGGACTGGGGAGTGACTCGAGGTGAGGAAGGACGAGAACGAGGTGTAGGAAGAGAAGGAGCGGCAGATTGAAGAGAGCGGGGAGGACATGGAGGAGGCTGATGATGATGAGGAGGAGGAGGACGAGAGGAGGAGAGGAGGACGGGGAGCAGTGACGTAACCAGCCCTTATCATTTACGCTCCCAAGAGCGAAGGGTGCCATGAGCCGTCTCGGGCAAGTTCCTTCAGCGCTCTTTCCGTTTCCGTGCACAACCATTGGCCCATCCATGGAGCCATGGCGGGGCCCAGGTCAGCGCCGAGGTTGTTCCCGGAGCTTCCAACAAGGTCTCCGAGTTGCACTTCCGCGTCCTGCTCCACCGACCCCGTACCCCATATCGGTTGAAGACATGATGCTGCTGCCTCCGCAGTCACCAGTCAGCATTCTCCTGCTTGCTTTTACGGCACTGCAGGCTGCCATCCATATCGCGGGTCGAGCCGCCGCTCCCTGCACCTCCGTATTCGTGGTCATGGCTCCAGCTGTTACTGAGAGGCCGCGACACACGTGTCATAACTATCCAATTTGCAGTGGACTCCAAGCTCAGATCCCAATCGAAGGCACCAACAAACGAGAACGTCACAGATTTTGCAAGCGGTGCCTTTCGGCAGATACACGGCGTGCCCACCCCCAGTGCGAGGCCCCTGTAGCTCCACCCTTCCGACGGCCAAAAACACATGTCACGTCTACTTTCTGCGCGACGCACTATTCCGACCCATGCCACAATGCCACGCGCGAGTGGAACTTGTGTAGGAACGCCCGCGTCGGCTGCCGCCTTCTGGCAACCAACAAATCATCTGGCCCGTGCTTTCCATGCTCTGAAGGCTCCCTGCCCTGTCGCTTCGCGGTGCTGGGGTGTCCTTCCCACGTCCGGCAAAAGGTCAAAAATGCATCAGGCCGGCTTCCGCAATGCGTTAACCATCACAACAACCATTCTGGGCCCTACAACCCTGGTCGGCAATTCGCCTGCGCATCGCCTGGCTGCCAGGAGGAACGGAGCGATGCAGCCCACAGTGCTTGCGTCCCATGCCAAGCCGGACGTCGACCGCGCACAGTGTGCTTCTCACGCCGAGGAGCGCCCGGAACTCCAGATCTGTGCGCTCATTGTGGCGGAGCCAGCCCAGCCGCCAGCCCTTCTCTAGCCGCTCCAGCGCAGTCTTCGACGGCGCTTGCATCTACGCCCTCGCGATGTAGCGCTCCGAAGTGCGGGGCGCCAGCGGTGCAAGAAAGCACATCTCGAACGGGCGCGCAATGCCCCATGTGCATCGTCGGGGTCTTTCCTTGCGCTACGGCCACCTGCAACTTCGCGCCCCTCGACAACACGGACAGCATTGCCTCGTCTGCCAACCGCCCGCCCTGCTCCACTTCTGCCGCGCGCCCGCGTGTACGAACGTAGTCGAGTCGCCAGAGGACACTTTGTGTTGTCTTTGCACTTCGTCCTCTTTCCCATGCGCGACGCGTAGGTGCGACGGCCGTTCCACCCTTGGTTCAGCAGGCCTGTGTCGAACGTGTGGGCTGTCCACACCGCAACCACTACCATCCCTCTCCAAACGATCCTACGAGCAAGCCGAACGCCCTTGTAGCTCGTCTGGGTGCAGCGGTGTAGCTCAACGGAAGTCGTCCGACGGCCTCTGCATCGCGTGCAGTCGGAAAGGGAAGCCATGTAGCAATCGTGCCATTGGGTGCGCTTTTCGCGTGGGCCCTCTCGGCACCGTGGTGGAATGTAGGCACTGTTGCCTCGCGGGGCCCCGTTGCCAGGGGCCCGGAAAGGCCGGCTGCCGCGCCCCCGCCCGCCATGGCGTGCGACGCGCAATGCCGCACAACAACGGCATGTGCGAACGTTGCTTTAAACCCACATGTTCTTCCCACTGTGCGACAGAAAGTTGACGAAAGCAATGTGCGCCACCGGATACTGCCCCGACCACGTCCGACATGCCGCGGTAGCCACCGCCGCCGCCGGGCCCCATCATCCTCCGACGTCGGGGTCTTCTGGTGTCCCACACGCCCGTCCACGTAGCGATCCGTTGCAAGCACTCCGCAAGCAGGTGGGGGCAGCCGTCCGCATGTACCTCCGAGCACGTGACTCGCCGAAATGTTCCGTGCCGTGGTGTCGCCTCAAGTTCACCCGCGTAGCACTTCCGAACTCGTCCAGCTGTCCGCCCGCCTGCGCAGCGCATCGGAACTGGTTCGCAGAACCCGTGCCTGGGACTTTTCTTGGCGTACGCACCGGCCACCGCGCCGGCTGGTGGTCGACAGACGAATGGTGCAGCAACCGCGTTCCGAAAGCGTCGCTCTCTCCGACTGGCCATTTTCAAGGAGCCTGCGCAACGTGCGGGGCTCTGCACTTCTTCGCCGAACGCGCGCGTTGCCCGGCAGCACGCAGAAAGGACTTCGGCGCGTGCTGCAGGTACGGAGCCCTGGCTGGCATCCCCCTACTGCCTCCCGCTCCGGCCGAAATTGCTCAGCTCCTTCGTCCGGGTCTTTCCCACGACCACTTCATGCAGCACACTCGGTCGTACAACTGCGCCCTTGGATTCGCATCCTTCAACAGCGAGAGCACTGTCGCTGCACGGAAGACCCGCACGGAAGACCCCTTGTCGGGCACCCGGGCGCCGGGGCACCCGGGCACCCGGGCACTGCAGGCACCCCGGCACCGGGGCATCCATCCGGGCATCCCCCGGGCACCCGGGAAAGAGGAGGGAGGATGAGGAGGAGGAGAAGGAGGAGGAGTGAACGTCGGGCAGGCGTCCAGCGCAATCCGAGCCGAGGGTAGAGCCAGAAGGAGTAGGAGGTGGAGGGGACCGGGAGGACCGTTTCGGCCGTTCGAAAAAGCACCTCATCCATGTCCTCCTTTTCCTCCTCCTCCTCCTCCTCCTGCTCGTTCTCTTCCCCTTCCCTTCCATAATCAGACTATTCCTCCGCCGGCTCGTCTCGGCCCGGCTCGGCCAGCGGAGGAGGAGGAGGGAGAGGATGAAGACAGGACAGGGGGGGAGTAGGACGACGAGGAGGAGGAGGAGGAGGAGGAGGAGGAGGAGGAGGAGGAGGAAGAGGAGGAGGAGGAGGAGGGGGAGAAAGAGCGAGGAGGCGGCGAGGGACATGGGCAAGGGGAGGCGGATGAGGATTAATTTCGTGGAGGAGCAGGCGTTCGCAACCGGCGCAGCATCCAGGCAGAAGAGGAGGAGGAGGAGGAGCAGGAGGAGGAAGAGCAGGAGGAGGAGGAGGAGGAGGAGGATGAAGAGGAGGAAGCGCAGGAGGAGGCCCGGTTCGCCTGAGACATCCTCAAAACTCTGGGTTCCGAGACGTCCTGACCTGAGTTGGTCAG